AACTGGTTTTGCAAGACCTGCTCTCACTATCGCTTAATAAGCCAAAGACTGTTTGGGGCCCAGGGAGGTGTCAGCATCCTGTAGGCTGGCCACGTGCACCTGAACCCAGGCTCTGTGGATAACGGGTCCTTTGCAGATGGTACCCTTTGCTTCCCTTGCCCACGGCAATCTGCAGTAATGAGTCCAGCAGGTCTGCGCAAAAAGCGTCGTCCTGACTTCCTAGAGCAAAAGTGTTTGCCGAGGACTGCTCAGGGTGGCTCGGGTTGTCTTGCAGCAAGGTCCAAGGCAGCAGAGGCCAGAAGGGGTTGAACGCCAGACTAAGCTCTTTGCGCTTGTTCACTTGCTGCAGAAAATGTGAACGTGGAGCTCCAGAGCCTCCACCGTGTCTTTGCCGATGAGGACTTGGTCCGAAGCCCACTAAAGTCAGCAGGAGCCTTTCCACAGGCTTTAGATCAGGCGGTATGTAAGGTGTTGTTGCTTGAAGATTGTGCCCCCAGGGAGACTGACAGCAGCACGCCTGGTGTGCCATGCCATGTGGAAGGGCTGTTCCCAAACGGCCCGTGAGGTACCCAGCACGGCACCAGGCTGTTTCAGCTCCTAGGTGAAGCCTTCTAAATGGCGCGCTACACTGGCGCAGCAGCCTGTAGCAGGGGCTCCTCAGGTCCTGAGATAAAATAGTCACAGAAGGTTGGTGGGGACCAAATCCCTTCACATTTCTGATTAGGAGGGAGCAAAATATTCCTGACCCCAACTTTCCTGAGACTTGCTAGGGACATTGGCTCCAGTCTTCAAAAAAATTGCTCCTTCATTTTCTTTACTTACAAAACGGTACGTACCACTTCTGGACACCTGCTGTGAGTGTACCATGGGAAAGAGCACTGCAGGGGGATCCTGTTGAGATTTGAACCATTGCACCATGTCGTCAGGAAGGGTTTTTATGGCTAAATGAGAATCGGCTCCCTGTGTGCACACTCTGCTGTCAGTCTGCTATGTTTCATCCTTGAGTTAATTCGTTTTGTACTTAACATTCAGTTCTTGGTGCAGTATGCAAGAACACACGATGATAGTTCATACCACTGAGACATCAGGTCAATCAGTATTTTCATTAGGGTTGAATGGTTTTAATGTAGTCATAAAATTGGGCTCCAAAAGCAGGGATTTGACATACAGCATTTAAAAGTCAAATCAATTTGACCCTTTCTGAGCATGAGCTCCTATAACATAGAAATGGCCCCAATCAAAAGGCTTAATGAATGATGTTAACTGACCCTTGCAAATATAATTAATTATTATTATTTGCTATAATATACTTATATCAGTCTGTATTGCCATTATGGCGCCATACAGTAAGAGACAGTCCTTACCCCAAAGGGCACCTGATCTAAATCAGGTCAGTCCTTGGAGTCTCATGCAGCCCAGACTGAAGGATTTTGGCAAAGAGCTGCAGCACTGGGCAGGACTGAGCATCTGCTATGTCCCATACATCTGGAATATTGTCACTTCTGCCATGACGACTAATGGCCCAAACGATTTCTTTTCAGTGGTAATCTGATTCTAGGTAAGCTGGGGCCCTGGGGGCCACCAGCGTCGTACCCTTTGCACAGTACAGGCACATTTGGGAAGCAAAGAGAGGCTGAGAAGGGAAGACTTTAGAAGGGGTTAGTTAAATCCATGTTTGTGACGAATGCTTCCTGCATCTTAGAAGAGGAATTCAGAAAATCATTTTCCCAGGCTTAGGCCAAAATCCCCCAACAGGGGAGTGTAATATGAAGCGCCTTAATGTGAGTCCCACTTAGTACAACATTGCGTACCCTCATGTGATGCAAAAGTCAGTGGGAGCTCTGGGCAATCAGGCCACTGCAAACCCAGCCAGAGCATCCCCAGGTGTCCCTGGATGGATGATGCAGAGCATCAGAAAATACTGATTCCAACTTTTACTTTTGCTTTCCAGTTGGCTGTTGATCAATCATAAAGTCAATTAATTCTGCTTAAAAGGGCCAGCAAAGCCCACTGTGAAGGCCATATTGCCAGGTTGTTTTTCCCGAAATACACAGTACGGGCTATTTTAACAATTATCTACTAAGTTGAATATTTCATAAGTAGTTAGGGACATGGATTAGCTCTGATTGTCTCTGAAAGAGTTACTGTGGTCAGTTAAACCAGTAAAAAAAAAGTCTAGGAAGCCGTGGCTCTGGGGCCACAGTAGCTCTGCAGAGACTGTTTAAAGGGGGGCTAGCAGATGAGCAAAATCTGAGTAACACACCCGGAGAGAGTGAAGGGTTGTGTGGGTTATTGTTTATTGTCCAATAAATGACTTGTGACACAGTATTTCCTTAGAGTAGTTATTACTTTACAAGCCATCTAAAAGTACTACGAGCTAAATCTATATGGCTTCTAGTGTCCTGATGTGTGGTGACCTGCTACCACAACAGGCTGCCCCAGAGAGATTATAAATCTTTATAGCAGCTACCTTCTGATTTATCAGTATTGCAAGCCATAAAGCTGGATATTTGGGAGGTTTTTAGCCAAAGATCATGGTTTCTAACCCCAGGGCATAATTTGCAGAAGAGCTGGCAACTTCCGTATTCCTTAAGGAATATCCTAGAGAAAAACATTAATCCAACAGAGATGTTTTTCTGTGCATGCGGTGTGAGAGAAAAGTAGTTACACAAAGAACATCCAAAAATTTTATCAGGCATTGCAATCATTATAATCTAGTATCTCATAAGATCTGCCAGTGCACTTTGTCTTGTGTGCTCACAACAGCAAGTTTAAGGTTTCCTGAAACATTATCTCCACATACCAAATCCAAAATAAATCTTCATCCTTTCCTCTTTGAATTTGTTCTCTAGCAGCGACTTGTCTTGGCGTGAAGTATTAGCCATATGGACGCTAGAATATCTGCTTTGACCTTGACCTCAGAATAAGTGCTGCCAAAACGTGAAGATAACTCCTGCATTTCATTTCTGAGAGTGATGCTCCAAGAATATAGCACGATATGCAGGATGCATTTTTCTCTTTGACTAGGTGTTCTACTAAAAGCATATTGTCTGTAGCTGGCTAGGAATTGGAAGCAAGGTCTCAGACTGTGGTTTATTTGGTAGAAATATTTACTTTGTTTTAGAAATAAAAAAGAGCAAATTTTGGCATCAGTCACTGGAAAGTGCATTGCTTTTAACTGGCTCTCACTACATTGCCAAGTCAGTGTTTTGATCTGGATACTGTACAGAGTAGCAGGAGGCTGCTGGGGGCACGACAAGATGAATTTTGCTGGTGGCAGACTTCTGTGCTGTTCTGGTTCAGTGGTGATGGTTAGTGGTCAAAGCATAGCGCTTAGTTGGGTAAGAGGAATAAGTACTACTCCTTTGGTCAGTCTGTGCTTTATGTAGTATATTGCTTGCAAATGGGTGTGGATGATGCACAGGACTCCGAATAAACACATTTCATGGTGTTGCATCAGACCAACGCGCAACAGTGCCTGAGGACCCAGTGAGCACCTAATCAGAGATCTTCTTTGATTTTCACAAGTGCCGTTCTTCCATTCTCTGCTGGTGCCCGTACCAAACATTCCCGAATAAGTTAGAGCTAAACGGCCTAGCAGCACTCGCAGAGAAAGCTGGCAAGGCTGAGAGGGGGAGGAGGGTGGCAAAGGGGGCAGAATGATACCCCACAATCTCGACTGGCAGGCGATCATTACGCACTTTGGAGTCCTGCGGTTCTGACGAGCTTGGCTCCCGGATTTGTTTAGGTGGCAGCGTCTTTCGCCTTGAGATCGCTGGGTGAAATTCGCACTAGCACAGCGCTGATGGTGCCAGCTGACGCTGTTGGGTGGGCTGTGCAGAATGGACTTGTTCCATGTGCTTCCTAGCGGGCAGAGGGCCACATTACAGCTGACAGCTTCAACATATGGAAATGGTGATGTGTGATTGATGTGGTCCCTGCAGGTCGCAGTAACTCAGGGCATATTAGCCCTGCATCCTGGGGAGGCTTATGCTGTTGCAGCTGCCCAGGTCCATTATCTGGACGATGAATAAATGGAAGAATTGATGTTCCCAGTAGTGTGAATCTGGCACATCATGAAACGATGTGTACTGCAGTTGGAGGCGAGAGGCACACTTCACAGAATCAAATCCCACAGCACGTGTAAGTGCAGCGCCGGATACAAACAACCATTTGTACGTGAGTGTGAAAGGGCGCTTGCGTTACATCGGATTAGAATGCTGATACTCACATGGTTTTTAAAAATGGCTACGACACCTACATTTTCTTACTCATTTTTAACATTCACAGATTTATTTTCTGCATCTCATACTGCAAATAAGAGATAACATTTTCCAAAGTTGCTGAGTAGGAGACAGCATTAGAACCTAGGGAGCCCCCTCAGCAAACACCCCTCACTGGCCCCATTTCTTGGCCAATGACAAATTTTGACCTAATTTTCAGCGAGGCCTGAGCAACTGCTCTCTCAAAAAACAGGTTGCTCCATGGCATCCAAAACTGGAGGCAGCCAAAATTAAGATTTTACAGCCAAAAGAAGGAGCAGGCTGAGGTTCCCCACAATGATATGGCTACTTATCTGAAGGCCTTCTGGCCAAAACAAAAATGAAAACCTTTTTTTTTTGCGTCTACCACTAAGAAACAGGACGCTCTGTAGCTTCTACAGGGAAATCAGCTCCAGCTGTATATGGTACTTTAAAAGGACTCTCCCGAATCCACGCTGCAGGGTCCTGTCTCCTTTTACTGTGGTGACTCCCTGCAGCTTTCCCGTTCCCACCTCGCTGCTCCCGCGGCCCCAGCAGATTCTCTTTTCTCGTGCGGCTTTCCTGGAGAAGCCGACAAACCAGGGCGCTCGCTCTTCCTCCACGAAAGGTATTGCCCCCGGCCAGACGTGCCGCCTTGGCTCGAGAAAGAAGAGCACCGACGGGGAGCGGAGCGGTGGGACTCCCAGCCCGCCGTGCCCACCTCGCGTCTCACTCCCGCTCTCTGTTGTTTCCCTCCAGGTGTTCTACTGATCTTGGCACTGACAGAAGAGCTGGTGTTTTCTGTTCAGGTACTGTCTCCCGCTGTACCCTCCTCTCAGGGCTTCCTGATGGACACTACCACTATCACAGCCATGGGGACAACGCCTCGGCACAAAGACCGTCGCACGACGCCGCCTGCTCCCGCATCTGCTCGCACCGTTCCCCATCCCCTTAGCCGGACGGAGAAAACGGCCCCGTCCGCTGGCCCAAAGCAAGCAAGCGGCCGTCGTGCTGGCGAAAGGGAAAGGTATCATTTATACAACCAGAGTGCTTTGTACTCAGGACAGACTCGCCCCCAGGGGAAAATGTTCCGGGATTTCAAAGGGAACTTCTCAGAGCCTTCAGAGCCTTACCTAAAGACAGCCCTGCACTCCCCCTTCCCCGCCCTGAGCAGCCCTTTCACAGACCACCCGTTTCCCTCCCCGACTGCAACTTCCAGAGATGCCACTGGCACGGGGCTGGCAAGAACTACGCACCCGGCCCCCTCTCCCCCCAGCAGCACCTCGGGAGGCCTTAGGAAAGCAGAGCACGGGGATGGGACGGAGCCGGTTGTGCAGAAAGCCGATTTTGCCACCACAACTGCTGGACCATCGACTGATCCTGAAGCAGTGTCGGTGCCTTTTAACCCCCCCCACTATGATATATGGGATATGCTGAGCAAAAACAACTCTTGGGTAACCTTGAACCTCAGTACAAACGTCCCGTTGTTTGCCGGCCCTGGAACTGCAACAGCAGCAGCAGGTCACACGGTTCAGACCAGTTTCGATGTCAGCGTCTCCTCTCCGGCAGCGGGCAACCCCAGGGGAGCTGCCCCGACGCAGCACGGCGCGGTGACTAACGCCACCGTGTTCGGCAGTGCTCTCTCCACAGCGCCCGCCACCAGGCTGTCCAGCTCCGTTTCCACAGCTGGCTCCACTGCCACCGGCAACTTCCTAAACAGACTGGTTCCTGCCGGGACCTGGAAACCTGGGCTGCCGGGAAACATCTCCCATGTCACTGAGGGGGACAAGCCCCAGCACAGAGCAACCATCTGCCTCAGCAAGATGGACATTGCCTGGATCATCCTGGCTATCAGCGTACCTATATCCTCATGTTGTAAGTTAATTGCCCCTTTCTTTTCCTGTCTTTCTTTCTCTCCTTCCTTAAAATACAGATTTTGGCCCCGTGATTCAAGGACTAGGCGGAGAGCTCACAGTGGCAGGGCAGCTTGAGACAGATGAGAAGCAATCACCAGACAGATAACACATTCACTGACCAAGACACTTAGGACTAACAGCCTCCAGGACCCTAACATTTACGCTCACAGCACACTTGCTCTTTTGCTATTAGAAATCCCTTAGCCATTCTGGGCTGTCCATTTGACGATACGAGACAAAGGCTGAACAACCCTGGAAGGCAAAGCAGCTTTACTTCAAAACGTTTAAACAGGTGACCAAAAATTACACAACTCTGCAGTCTAGGAACTGCTATATTCTACCCTGGAACTGGATTAAAAAAAAAAAATACACTGCTAACCCCAAAAGAGTAATGATAATTTTAATAGCTAATGCCTTAGAGAACACCAGTTTTCCAGTGCTGTACGGTGTTTCACTGCAGGCAGTTTGTGAACTATTTGATTTTAAAGCCTCATCATTTTGATAACCAAATTACTATTTTCCTTTATTTTAATTCTGAGTCTGACTTTGCAGCTACCTAGAGAACAAGAAGAGTTTGACATTTTTGATTATCAGACAACAGAAAGCAGCCACCTGCAGGACCAGTACAAGTTCGGTTTGCAGAGCAGGCTTAGGATCTCATCATTTGACTCCCTTGCAAAAAAAAAAAACAAAAAAAAACCGTTGCTGAATTATGAGAAAGCTTGTGTGTGGGCGCTGCTGTATCCCCTTCCCAACTGGGTGATATCAGCAACATGAGACAATATATTTTTCTCTGATGTTTCACTCTGCAGAGCCAAGAAGAAGCCACTACATAGGTTATGGGGTGTGATTATACTGGTCCATTGCAAATAGCAATGGAGTGAAACAAGAACTTACACGTTTGCCAGCCTTTGCTGCCTGAGGAAGACCAAAAGGGTAGCAGCCAACACTATCCAGTATTAATCCTGTTATGTACAGCTATGAGCTATGCTGAGGACAAGGTTAGGTGAGTTGACAGAGGCAGTCTAACAGCTTAGTCAGGCCAAAAAGAAGAGTGCTGCTCTCTTCTTCTGCCCTCTGCGAGGCTCGGCTTTGTGATCCTGCCCCTTTCCTTCTGCCTGGTCCTAACCTGACACCTCTGCAAGCCAATTCAGATCGATAAACCGGTAAAAAAAATATTCACTTTGTTCTTTGCTATTTTTCTGTCCACATAGTGAGCTGAATCAGCTCCCCACAGGGCCAGATAAGCACGGGACCTGGAGCGGGTTGAAGGTGCAGGAACACGCACCTGGGAGGGGAACAGGACTAACCCTTTTGTCAGCAGCAGATTGTTGGACTGGCTCAGCAGATCTGTTCGACATGAACCTCTAGGACCATCAGTTCCACTACTACCAACTTGGTTAAAACCACTAGTGAAACCAGAGAGTCCTTTGGCCGGACTTCTAGCCCACTATTCATTAGTATTTAAACTTAGGTTCTTATCATATGTCCCATAACAGAATGGATTCATAAGACTGTGTCTATTTTGTTTCTTTGTGTTTATAGGCTGCATTTTTAAAAGGCAAGTGTTATTATGAAAATTACCTATAGCAGCTCTGATTGATTGATAGAACTGAATGTTTTTATGACTCAGATATGTAGGTCCTGCTTGCAGGATCAGATTTCGGAGGATGGTCTTCAGTGAGACTCTCCTTTTAAAATCTGGGAATCCTCAGGTGTATTTCAGGGTTGAAATGAACGGTAGAGAGACATTTAAATGTTTTGCGGATCTGGCTGAAGTGGTATGGCGTAGTTTATTCCTATCAAAGAAGAAAAATCAATTATATAAACTTAAAACATTTTTACCCAGGTATGCGTGTGTCGACATAAGAGGGTAAAACCAGAGAGATTGTGCTCTTTACTGTCAGAATTAAACCAGTGGAAAAGAGAGTCCAGACCAAAATGGAGTTAGTGCTGAAAACCGTGCACAGACTCCTAAGGAGCTTTAGAAAATTTTAGCCTGCCAGTGTCTCCGAAGTGGTAGCCTGCGTGCAACAGCTTGTCCCGGCTGTGCTGGCCGCGGGGATGCTCGGAGGCCTTCGGTCTCCGGGGTTTGCCTGTCCAGCCGCAGAGTCTCCCTTTTTTTTTT